TGACTCTCCGAGATCAAACTGATTGGCCCGCAAGCGGTTTTATATGGTGCCTTCCCCAACCATCGGGTAGTAGCCACATTGGCATCACAGTGTTGCCACAATCTGGTTTGGATTCGAGGCTGTGGTTGCTCCCTCCATACTGAGGTCAACTACCACCAAGCTTTCAGTTAGAACCATAATTATTTCGCCTACACTGAGGAGCAATACTGGCTCACGCTCTCCCTGATTTGGGACCATAACGTTTCCTTCTGTACCGAGGACCACTACTCTGTCAAATTCGGAGCCATGCTTGTCCCTCCCTTTCGAGGCCCATTGCAGCTCCTACAATTCAGCCTTCGGGATGCTGCCAGTAATCACTCATTCAGCCCTGAGCTATGGTCACCCCAGCACATACTCAGTCGGATTCGAGGCTGTGATTATTGCCTCTATACCAAAGTCTACAAATGCATGCCTCATTCTGCCTCCTGTTCATTCGAATTTGAGCCAGGTTTAGGGTTCTTCCCTCCATACAGAGGGATGGCAGAGTCAGCCAGATATACAGCATCAAATGTCTCCATGTCAAGATTTCATGATTTCATGGCTATCCTCATATAGCTGATTCGGAAAATGGGGTGCTTCCTCCATGCTGAAGGAGGGCACCACCATTCTCAGGTTACATTCTTATCAGGACATGTATTTGTTTCTGTTCACCAGAGCACTTTTGATACGAACAGTCCTCCACTCATCACAGGACTGGAGGATCAAATTCAACAATTGGTTTGCTCCCTCTATACCTAGGGACACTACTATTATGCGCTAGGTAACAGCACGATTGGAATCGTCTTGTTCCCCCCATGGGGGTTTTGATATCATCACTCATCTCTAACTCCAAGCTATATTCTTGTATCACTCACTTGATATAGATATATTCTGGGATGTGCTTGGTCTCCCTGTACTGGGACCAATACCATTATTTCCTTAGACTGCCAAATTGAAGAAATGATTAATAATAATAATAATAATAATAATAATAATAATAATAATAATAATAAATTTTATTTGTAATCCGCCCCTCTGCAGAGCAATCGGGGCGGCGTACAACAAGATAAAATACAACAATTAAAATCCAAATTCTTATTCCCTCCATCCACTACCCTCCCCCTTAAAATAGTATTAAACCTAATAAGATTAAAATCTATGTATAACAGATATAAAATATTAAAAGAACAAACAATAAGATGCCTCCCTCGGTATTACACTTCAATGCTGAGGGCCATTACCATTCCAGGTCTGCCACGACTGTTACTGGGGTGGTCATACCCCCCTTTTTTCAGACTGTCATTAATGCCTTCATTCCTTCTTATTGGTGGCTTTCAGAATGTACTTGTTCCCTCTGTGTCAGAGGAATGTTTTCACTTCCCCTGTGCAAGTGTCAGTGAATGCCGTTGGTGTCTTCTTTCCAAGGGCCACTGCATATAACGAGGAATACAAGTCTACACCCCACACTCACACGTCTTCCAAGGGGTTCTTGTCGGTGCCACTCACATCTATGAAACGTGACAAACTACTGTTCGGTCTCTACCTGGGATGAGCTCATCTCATATACTGACCACTGATTTCAGTGCAATCTTCTTGGGCCTCATGCAGATGGGAGCTGCGTCAGTTCTTTCCCATCTGCCACCCTGGGCAGAAACGCCCTCTGGGGACTTCATGATCTTGGGAGTGCATACTTGTCCCATTTCTCCAGGCTGACTGATGTCATAACATCTGGTTCTTCTGGGCCTCTGGTCTCAGGGCATCATTCTGGTGAGGTGGTGACATTTCAGGTCTCCACCTGCAATCCTGCCAAGGCTAACTGTGCACTGCAAACATCCTGGGTCTTCTCTCTCCATACAGGGAAGCCTGTGCTCCCCCCATTATTGTGCCCTATCACAGCACACCTCATGCTTCATCAAGCACCCCATATCTATATGATAAAGGGTTTCACTCTGGCTAGGAGATGGACTGGTGGCTCTTAAACTATTCCAGCTCCCCTGTTCTAAAATTCTTCTCTCATGACCCATTCATGACAAGTCAACACATTCCTGCCAAGTCATGTTATCATTGATACAACCTCAACAGAACATCATGGGATGGGGTAACATTCCCACAGGGATCTCTTTCTACTTATAGTGTGAAACCCCCTTTACTTTTATAATGGTATGACTAGCCTTCTAGTCATCAACCACTATTATTTTCTCTGGAATTTTCACCAAGAATTGCATGTTTCATGCTGATAGCCTGAAACATTACACTCAAACACAGTGCGTCTTGTGGGTCACAACAATTGGATATTGTGATATTTTCACTGTCTCTGTTATCAGTGTCTTTGCTATGACTAGATGAGGTACTATTCCTCTTCTCTGATGTCTACCACTATTTCAGAAATTGTTACTGGACCTTCTCCAGTTCGTTGCCATTAGACTCACTCTGTACGAATGGACTATCCAGATATCCTGCTGCCCATTTGTGGTGCAGGCACTTGTTTCTGCTGTTTTTGTTGGTGATGCCCAACCATCTCATTGCTGAGCACAGGTGGTCTATTTCACATTCTATGTGAACACTTAGCCCTAGATTGTTTAGCTTTCTAGGCGTTGTCTGTCGATGCCATAATCTTCAAACAATGGCTTATCAGGTCACTGCCCCTTTTTCCACTTGAAAGATTCCCTTTGACATGTCTTTAATTTGAGGGTTTGGTAAACCCCCTTTTTCCTGGTTGCCAGTGTCATGACCTGGGCAGCCTCACATTGTTGCAAGTCTGTTGCCCTTCGCATTGGTTTCCATTCATCTTCTGGATCAGACAGAGTCTGTATACCTTCCTTCTTGTTGCGCTTGTCTACTTTCAGTAATGAACCTCTTTTATTACCTACTGGGTAGCTTTGGCATAATTTTCATTGCTAACAAACCTGTGATGTCTAGGTCAGAGATTCTCCCTTGACTTTAGCCATACATCTCCCTTGTTATCACAGACCATCAAGATCTATCAACAGACTGTGCAACATATGGATTAGCTGGCAAGCCTGTTTTTTCTGCCAATGGGCATGTTCTCACCTGCATTGATGACTGTTTCCACTATATCTTGGTATTGGAATTTCAGCTTGACTCATGTAGAGTCATATTAGCAGAACTGTTGCCCCTATATTTACATGCTTGGGGCTCTGACTCCCAAAGGGTGATTGTGTTTGAGGCAATGTGCCATCTAATGTGGCATGACACTCCCTCCTCCACTGACCGAAGCTTGTCAGTCTAACTCATTTGTGTGACCACGAAGAAGAAGGACAGATTTCTTACCTGTAACAGTATCTCTTCGAGTGGTCATCTCCGAATTCACACAAATCCCGCCATCCTCCCTTCAGAGTGGTGCCCTACCTCTCCTTCAATCCTGGCTGCTGCTTTGGCATCCATGGAACTGAGGGTTTAGGCGGGAAACCGGCCAATAAGGCAGTTGGAGAATGGGCAAGGCTACCGCCAAAACACTTCTAATAGCTCTAAGAAGTTTCCTAAGTTTGCTGCTCAGGCGCATAATAACCCATTTGTGTGAATT